ATAAGCATGCCAAAACTGAGCCAGATGTAAAGAGGGTAAGTGCCATAAAATCCGTTTTGAAATGACCCTCTGTTTTCCCCATAAAATACAAAGATTATATAGGGAAATACGACTGATCAGTTTTGACCCATTTCCCGATTTTTCCCGGACATGGCGAGTTTTTTGTGACACCCCAAGGCATTCTCCTACCACCTCACAAAATATCAAGGGGGGTCGTCGGAGGAATTTTTTTTCGTAATAGAGCTCATATAAAGAGAATTTCACTCGCGGTCACGTTTTAGCCCTCGTCGAGGGCTTTAAGTGTAACCGACAGTTTTCCCTAAAGTTCAAGCCATTTACCTATAAGCATGCCAAAACTGAGCCAGATGTAAAGAGGGTAAGTGCCATAAAATCCGTTTTGAAATGACCCTCTGTTTTCCCCATAAAATACAAAGATTATATAGGGAAATACGACTGGTCAGTTTTGACCCATTTCCCGATTTTTCCCGGACATGCCGAGTTTTTTGTGACACCCCAAGGTGTTCTCCTACCACCTCACAAAATTTCAAGGGGGGTCGTCGGAGGAATTTTTTTTTCGTAATATAGCCCATATAAGGCGCCGGTCAGTCGAGGTCAGTTTTGTCCCCCTCTCCGTAGACTTTTTGCCGAACCGTCACCGGCCATCGTGTTCTATCGCCATAAGGCACTTTCGTGCCAAATTTGACGCGCCTACGGCGCCGGGAAGTGCCCTATCGGGCACCCGACCACTTTGCTTTATATATAGACTAGGCATACTGCCTAGCTTCGCTTAGGTTTTCAAAAACATTTGATAATTTGAATACTAATTATTTGGTGATGGATGAGGTATGGAGTGCTTAAATTTAAACTGTAATGCTAAGTTAAGAGAAGCTGTATGTTGTTTCACATCCGCTTGCAGTGAAAATATAAAAAGTACACAATTTATAAATAAAATAAAATTAGAAATACAGAGGTTCTATTAACAGTATATCTCATAATTTATATTACATTGACTTTTAAAATAATTTTATTTATTTAATTAATATACATAGCTTAATTAACAACTAATCTTTTTCTAAAACAAATACTATACTTTGTCGTTTTCTGTTTTTGTTTTAAAAAGTGAACAATTATTTGAAAAATAATTATTTTAAAAAGTTACCTCCCTTGAAAATGGACCAAATGACGTATGACTTTGTTTACATTTTTTTTTAAACAAACAGTTACTATGCTTATATAAGAAAATATGATATATGAACATATTTGACGACTACAATGGCTTTTTCCGACGGGAATAACGTTTTTTTGTTACCCTCGAGGGTCGGTCTACGACCTCAAATAATATTAATGATCGTTCGTCAATTTATTTATATATTATCTCATATAAGGAGAATTTCACTCGCGGTCATCTTTTAGCCCTGGTCGAGGGCTTTGAGTCTGACCAACAGTTTTTCCATACGGCCTAGTCATCTATAGAAGTGTATGCAAAACATTAGCATGATGTACAGAGGTTAAGTAACCTAAAACTTACGTTGAAAATTCCCTGTTTTTCCCATAAAATACAAAGTTTATATAGTGAAAAACAACTGGTCAGTTTTGACCCCTTTACAAAGTTTTCCCAGATATTCCGAGTTTTTTGTGACACCCCAAGGCGTTCTCCTACCACCTCACAAAATATCAAGGGTGGTCGTCGGAGGAAATTTTTTTTCGTAATAGATCTCATATAAAGAGAATTTCACTCGCGGTCAGATTTTAGCCCTCGTCGAGGGCTTTGAGTCAAACCGACAGTTTTCCCTAAAGGTCAAGCCATTTACCTAAATGTATGCCAAACATTAGCCAGATATACTGAGATTAAGTACCCTAAAGTCTGCGTTGAAATGACCCTCTGTTTTTCCCATAAAATACAAAGATTATATAGGGAAATACGACTGGTCAGTTTTGACCCCTTTACGAAGTTTTCCCAGATATGCCGAGTTTTTTGTGACACCCCAAGGCGTTCTCCTACCACCTCACAAAATATCAAGGGGGGTCGTCGGAGGAAATTTTTTTTCGTAATAGATCTCATATAAAGAGAATTTCACTCGCGGTCAGATTTTAGCCCTCGTCGAGGGCTTTGAGTCAAACCGACAGTTTTCCCTAAAGGTCAAGCCATTTACCTAAACGTATGCAAAACATTAGCCAGATATACTGAGTTTAAGTACCCTAAAGTCTGCGTTGAGATGACCCTCTGTTTTTCCCATAAAATACAAAGATTATATAGGGAAATACGACTGGTCAGTTTTGACCCCTTTACGAAGTTTTCCCAGATATGCCGAGTTTTTTGTGACACCCCAAGGCGTTCTCCTACCACCTCACAAAATATCAAGGGGGGTCGTCGGAGGAAATTTTTTTTCGTAATATAGCTCATATAAAGAGAATTTCACTCGCGGTCAGATTTTAGCCCTCGTCGAGGGCTTTGAGTCAAACCGACAGTTTTCCCTAAAGGTCAAGCCATTTACCTAAATGTATGCAAAACATTAGCCAGATATACTGAGTTTAAGTACCCTAAAGTCTGCGTTGAAATGACCCTCTGTTTTTCCCATAAAATACAAAGATTATATAGGGAAATACGACTGGTCAGTTTTGACCCCTTTACGAAGTTTTCCCAGATATGCCGAGTTTTTTGTGACACCCCAAGGCGTTCTCCTACCACCTCACAAAATTTCAAGGGGGGTCGTCGGAGGAAATTTTTTTTCGTAATAGAGCTCATATAAAGAGAATTTCACTCGCGGTCAGATTTCAGCCCTCGTCGAGGGCTTTGAGTCAAACCGACAGTTTTCCCTAAAGGTCAAGCCATTTACCTAAATGTATGCCAAAAATTAGCCAGATATACTGAGTTTAAGTACCCTAAAGTCTGCGTTGAAATGACCCTCTGTTTTTCCCATAAAATACAAAGATTATATAGGGAAATACGACTGGTCAGTTTTGACCAATTTCCCGATTTTTCCCGGACATGGCGAGTTTTTTGTGACACCCCAAGGCGTTCTCCTACCACCTCACAAAATTTCAAGGGGGGTCGTCGGAGGAAATTTTTTTTCGTAATAGAGCTCATATAAAGAGAATTTCACTCGCGGTCACTTTTTAGCCCTCGTCGAGGGCTTTGAGTCAAACCGACAGGTCTGCCCTACGGTCAAGCCATTTACCTATAAACATGCCAAAAATTAGCCAGATGTAAACAGGGTAAGTGCCATAAAATCCGTTTTGAAATGACCCTCTGTTTTTCCCATAAAATACAAAGATTATATAGGGAAATACGACTGGTCAGTTTTGACCCATTTCCCGATTTTTCCCGGACATGGCGAGTTTTTTGTGACACCCCAAGGCGTTCTCCTACCACCTCACAAAATTTCAAGGGGGGTCGTCGGAGGAAATTTTTTTTCGTAATAGAGCTCATATAAAGAGAATTTCACTCGCGGTCAGATTTTAGCCCTCGTCGAGGGCTTTGAGTCAAACCGACAGTTTTCCCTAAAGGTCAAGCCATTTACCTAAATGTATGCCAAAAATTAGCCAGATATACTGAGTTTAAGTACCCTAAAGTCTGCGTTGAAATGACCCTCTGTTTTTCCCATAAAATACAAAGATTATATAGGGAAATACGACTGGTCAGTTTTGACCCCTTTACGAAGTTTTCCCAGATATGCCGAGTTTTTTGTGACACCCCAAGGCGTTCTCCTACCACCTCACAAAATTTCAAGGGGGGTCGTCGGAGGAAATTTTTTTTCGTAATAGAGCTCATATAAAGAGAATTTCACTCGCGGTCAGATTTCAGCCCTCGTCGAGGGCTTTGAGTCAAACCGACAGTTTTCCCTAAAGGTCAAGCCATTTACCTAAATGTATGCCAAAAATTAGCCAGATATACTGAGTTTAAGTACCCTAAAGTCTGCGTTGAAATGACCCTCTGTTTTTCCCATAAAATACAAAGATTATATAGGGAAATACGACTGGTCAGTTTTGACCAATTTCCCGATTTTTCCCGGACATGGCGAGTTTTTTGTGACACCCCAAGGCGTTCTCCTACCACCTCACAAAATTTCAAGGGGGGTCGTCGGAGGAAATTTTTTTTCGTAATATAGCCCATATAAGGCGCCGGTCAGTCGAGGTCAGTTTTGACCCCCTCCCCGTGGACTTTTCGGCCAACCGTCATTGCCCCTTGTGTTCTATCACCACAAGGCACCATCGTGCCAAATTTGACGCGCCTGCGGCGCCGGGAAGTGCCCTATCGGGCACTTGACCACTTTGCTTTATATATATAGATTTGTTTCCATCCACGGAGATATATATTGGGCTGTCGTACAGCCAAGTAAAAATTACAGTCATTAGCGACACTAACAAAAACAACGCTTTTTATGGTAATTACAACGTAGAAGTAACTCATGATCTATCAAAGTGACACTAAACATTACAGTGTTGAACTCAGGAGAGACTATAGGGTATTTTGAAAGGCATATTTGTTATTAGTATAGAGTCCTCTTTAGACCTAGCCGATCGATTTGGCAAATGAAGTAGAGTTCATATGTCTCTGTGTCCTCGACATTTAAAGGGCAGGTGTGGTCAGAATTTTTGCCAAGCCGTCTTTAATTTCCTTAACATGAGTTAGTACCCATCAGAGCTTGTTGGACTTAGGGGCGTTCTACTGACTTGGATTCGAACTCGAGATTTTCGGGTTAGCAGTCAATCGAGATTGGTTTTTAGTAAGGTTTTAAAAACTAGACGTGTCCACAAAGACTTATTTGTTATTTTTTTTTTAAATGTTCTTATTAATGAGTTCATTTAAAATTGTGAAGCTTTTGTTTCTCTTAGTAATTAGCATGGGCAATGTAACAAACACGATTGTTTGACCCTAGTCGATGACCCTAATGGCTGTTTTGTGTGCTTTTGTATGCAATATAATTAAACCGATTAATGATTCCTGTAGTTTAATCAAACATCGATCAACTTATGTTAATTATATATCCCCATGACAGCGGCGGCAGAAAACGAGAGAAAGTTGAGTCGTGAAATTGGAGTCACCATCTATCACCATCACAAGACTCGTCCAGACTCCCACGCCTAGCCGGCAACTGGCAACTACGGGAGATAAATAGCTGGTGGAATTACCTGGCCAGAGCAGACGTGTCTGTAGCGTATTTAAAACAGCTCGGAGCTTGAGAACATTGAGTAGCTTGCCCAAAGAGTAAAGAAGGTCGTCCAGAAGAAAATAGAATACACAAAAGTAAGTTTTCTTTTAATATTTTTATGTTAATTTATTATTTATATGTATTAAAGAAATAGATTAAAAGTAATTACCTATAATCCAGTTCGGCGCAGTTGTAAAAGTGAGTCTTAGATTGTGGCATGTATTCGATGGTAGGTCCCGTATTGGGGCATGTCTTTGAATATGGATCCCGTATTGGGGCATGTAAATGTGGGTCCCGTATTGGGGCATGTAAAAGTGGGTCCCTTCATTGGGGCATGTCTGTGAATGTGGGTTTTAGATTGGCGCATGTCTCTAAATGTGGGTACCGTATTGGGGCATGTATGTGAATGTGGGTCCCGTATAGGGCATGTCTGTGAATGGTGGTCCCGTATAGGGCATGTCTGTGAATGTGGGTCGCGTATTGGGGCATGTCTGTGAATGTGGGTCCCGTATGGGGCCATGTCTGTGAATGTGGGTCCCGTATTGGGGCACATCTGATATTGTGGGTCTTAGATTGGGGCGTGTGGGAGAATATGGGTCCCAGGTTGAGGAATATATGTGATTATGTGTTGCAGACTAAAGCGAACACGTACTTAAATGATCATAATGTCTTGAATTGTTGAAGCATACACGACGAAGCTTTAATTAAAAGCAGTACATTGTTTACTAGAGTTTTACTATCAATCAACCAACACATAATTAAGAGCTAATTAAGTATCGGTCTTAAGATGACGTTACGTCGTAGATTAAAAAAAGAGCCGAAAATAAACCCAAGACAGGAAACCAAAATGTATTGGCAGTAATTTTTTTTTAAATAATCATCTTTTTTAATAGTCTATTAGGCTGCCTAATTAATTGGTCGAATTTATTAGCGCGTGCATTTTATGATGGTGTTCATTAGTTTACCATTTTGACTGTTTTAGTAGTTTGGTTTCTAGAACGTTCCTCATCTTTATCACACAGTAATGATCAATCCTACGCGTGTTCTACCAATTAAGTTATGTACAAGCCACATAGCTTTCTGAGTTAGTATGTCCATTAATATGTTCGACAGCAAGACATTTAGAATGTCTTTCGTATCTCCGCTGTCTTTTATAAGGTAATTCGGTCTAACTATAATATATTTTTAATCAATCATTAAATCATCATTTAACCCTTATTGAGATCGTTGGGGCACAACAGTCGATTTTCTCATAATTATCCGCCAACTTTTTTTTGTCGTCTGCTTTTCTGAAATGTTCTGCAACGATCCAAACTTTGATGTCGTCCATCGAATGTCGTCTTTGCCTTCCCCTTCTTTTTCTCCCTCCTGACATAGTGCCTTGCATTATAGTTTTGGATAGGTCTTAGATTCTTGTGACATGCGCATACCATCTCACTTTTTTCTAGTTTTGACTATGTACTGCAGACTCTAAAAAAACTTATCTCATAAATGATTATTTCACAAACCACTTTATGTTATCTCTGTAAGAGATCCCTAGGAGTCTGCATCGATCACATCTACTCTATCATAAACCACCCCGTTCGTCCAAGAATTTGTTCAGGAATTCATCAATATTTCAGCAAGCAAAACCTGCTATTAACATGTGCCAATGCACTCTCTGACCAACACCTTTCTGTGATGGCACCACAATATCCACCATTCCACCCATCACTACATTCACATCTACGTCCTCTATAAATTATCAGCCCGTTCGTCCAATAATTTGTTCAGGAATTCATCAATATTTCAGCAAGCAAAACCTGCTATTAACATATTGTGTCAATGTACTCTTTGACCAACCAATTTCTACGACGGTACCGACGAATCAATTTAATTTTATTTGTTTTAATCTCCATAATGATTCAAAACGCAAATTTACTCCTTGTTAATTATTGGTGTGCACAGAAGAAGATCAATTTTTAGTCCAAGTGTTAGAAAAAAAAATCAATATTGTTTTGTTTTTTTATTCGAATAGTGCCTCTAGAAACAAATGTCTAACAAATTTTTACAGAAATAGGGAAAAAAGTTCTCATTAAGCGTACTAACAAATGTATTGATTGATAAACTAATCACAGTTTCAAGAGCTTCATAATTCAAAAATAATATTTGTACAAACTGCACTCAAATTGTATCTTCGATAGTAGGAAAAGTGTGAGAAATGTAAATGTCTGAGTATTTTGTGACAGTGTTAATAGCGGGCTGGCAATGTGAGATTTTATATTATTAAATCGTGGATTGTATCAGACTTTAGAACTAATGGAGTAGTTGTCTGAGGTTAGAGGCGTAGACAGGATTTTGTCAAGTCGATTTGTTCAAATTTCCTCCATATATATATATATAGTAGGCATGCTGCCCAGCTTCGCTTAGGCTTTCAAAAACATTGAGAATTTGAATGCTTAATTAATTCGCCCGAGGGTCGGTCTACGACCTCAGGAGTTATGAAGAGGTACCTACGTGGACAATTTTGCTTCATATATTATAGAGATTAGCAAATTGCATAGATAAACAAAGATTTCCAAAGTAGTTCCTTTCTTTATAGTCTAAAATAGGAAGATTCACATATAAAAAAAAAATTAGGTTTGCTTGGTGTGTCTCGATCCAGCACCACCTGTCTGGTATCAAGTACACTATCATCTCAGCTAATTAGGTACCTTATAAAATGTGGAGAATAAAAAAAGTGTTTAAAAAAATAACTTACACGAATATGCCTATTTTTTCAAATTATTTTTTTTACCCAAAATTAGCCAGTTTCATTGCTAAACAAACAAAGATTTCTATAAAATATTTAAGTCCTGAAAAAGTTTATTTATAGAAATTTATTTTTGGAATACATTCTACAGTAGATAGAGTCTAAATCTAGATCTAGAATGGATCTTAGCGACGTAGCGTCTAAGTGTAGTTTTTGCGTAGATTTAGATCTAGTCTAGATCTAGAATATCTAGATCTAGAATCCAAATAGATAAAATATTTTTTTAAGTTTAGGCCGAGAATATCGTATTGTGTAGCGTACATAGCTCTAAATTATATTTGAATGAAATAGTTCATTTTTTTTAAATTCTAAACTCGGAAGATGACGTCATCAGTTTTGTGCTCTTGTTTTAGTGTTTTAGTGTAAACAATAAGCGACGTCATTGTTAAATGCGTTCTTGTCCCAAGTTTATACACTTTTCCGGTTGCATAAATAATACTGTTTCTCTATATTCGAATACGCCTTAATTATTTATTTTTCTTCTTTAAATAAAATTGTGGTTATACATTTAAAACATCTAACATATTATTTTCAACAAAAGTCCGTAAAAAGTTCTCGATATATCGCTGTAGATTCTGATGTGATGTCCGGCGAAAATATTTTACGGACAGACAGAGAGAGAGAGAGAAGTGCGAACGTGGCCTATTATAGATTTAGATACATATATATATATGTATATATATATATATATATATATATATATATATATATATATATATATATATATATATATATATATAGTGTGTGTGTGTGTTTGTGTATGTGTATGTGTTAAGAACGCATAGCATACGTCTTATTTAATTTAAAAAATACTTGGGCTGAAATTTTTTATACTTTTAAATTTCATGGTGTTTGATTTAATGCATGAACCTATGCTATTTATGGGTTGTTCATGCTTGTAATTACGGTGACCAGGTTGAGCTTCCAATAGCTCAATAACTAGCTATAAAAATCCGAATTCAGTTTCGGGTTCTAAAGCCTTATGATGTCTACGAACATTTAAACTCGTTACAACTATAAACGACTAGACCGCGTTGACCAGGCAATCCTTTTATACGTCACGGTTATGACAAAGTGAATTATGTTTAATCCATACCAATAATATGAATATGATCTCACAGTTTTTTTAAAGAAAATCTTTTTACATTTTTTTTTAATTATTAAGTTTAAAAAAATCATTGGTGAATTATTTGATTTAATTTTTTGTATAAAAAGTATCTTTAAAAAAAAAAGATGAGTATTTTGCTTTTTAACAACATATGCGCCACTGTAAATTATAAAATATATAAGATTGTTTATTGTTTTGGTTAGGTCTGGAATTTACTTCCTCTGAAATTAATTTACTTTAGAATTCAAAGATCACTTAAAAAGCTAGAGCTTTGCCTAACCGGAACGGCAACTTTTGTGTTTTGTGTGTGTGTGTGTGTGTGTGTGTGTGTGTGTACCTGGTATAAATATTTGCCTGATAAAGAGGAAGCTGCGAAGTTCATGTTTTACAAACATAGAACTTAACGCACTGAGTCTATATAAACGTGTCGCCTGGACAATATGTTGAAATACATGAATTAGTGTCAAATTAATCTAGCACAAATTTATTGAAAGTTAATAAGGCAGACTTATTTTATAAAACAGGTAAACAAATTTAAACAAAAAAAAAACACACATTTTCTGGCTGATTTTATCTGACAGCATCGAATGACAAAACATTGGACTAGATTTGAAATTATCTTTGACACTGTTTTTAGACAGAAAAAAAAAACAACGGCTCATTTTACAAACAAAATCTCAAATTAAAAATGAGTTTTTTTTTGCTTCAAATTTTCAATTTATCATTTTTATTAACCTACATTTGTTTTATACAGATAATGTTATTTTAATAACAGTTTTAGTTTGACGTTTTCGTTCTGTAAATTAGTGAATGCAATTTACTAACATTTTGAAATCGTCTTAGATGATATGAGTTTTCCAAAGTAAATAAAATACTTAAAAAAAAACTTTTTAAAAAACCACGTTTTTCTTGTGGACTAAAAAGTAGAAAATAACTATTTACATACATTTGATGACAAAAAACGTGGGTACGTTCACCATCAAATTTCCCGACCCATCTGCCCGACCCACGTTTTTTGTCATCAAATGTATGTAAATAGTTATTTTCTACTTTTTAGTCCACAAGAAAAACGTGGTTTTTTAAAAAGTTTTTTTTTAAGTATTTTATTTTCTCCTTTTTAGTCCGTTGCTACACATGAAAAACGTGGTTTTTAAAAAAGTGTTTATAAATACACGGACTAAAAAAATCTTGAGCGA